TCTCCCAAAAATTATGACTAGGTCTACCACCGTGACTCATGATGACAAGTTTATCGCTTCTCAAGGTTAATAAATGATCTATAATAATTAAGAAACTGTCACATATGCTACGGGCTACGGGTAGCAGAGGATCGGCTGGACACAGCTCACACAGCCAATAACCGGAATGAAGTTTTAGCAATGGCCTGAAGAGGCGCATACGGCGTTTGACGTATTTTACAGTGCGTAAAAAACTAAGGACGTAAAATACCTAGTATTCTACATGTCTAAAGCTCTGTGTCCACGATACAAGAAATTGGACAAAGAAATTGAACCAAGTTCTTTGCGCAAAAAGCAACGTCTTGTATAGAAACAGATGGCGCTGCGATAGAAAACTGTGATGGAAATAATCGATTCTGGCTGCGGTCCACTTGACGCTACAAATACTTCGGAGCATTCTTCTTCTCCTTCTTTCTTCATTGAAAGCATTTGTAGCGTCAAGTGGACCGCAGCTTCTATTAACCGCCCGGTGCCAGTAACCTCAAAAAAGAAGGAAGGATCAAGATGATGCACGAAACGATGTGTAGGTTACTTTAATTATTTATGCAAAAAAATGTTATTGCAACATTTTTATAATAACGTCATCTGTTATGTATTTTGATCAGATTTCTAACATATCTTTGTATATACATATATAGAAATGTTCTACATGGGACACTTCCTACATCTCCGAGTGAAGAAGGTGATGCTGCACAAGAATCGCGTTCATCATTGCCTGCAAATCGTTACATCTCCGATTAGTGTTCTTATACCACGCAATTTGCATGTTCGATAACGAAACGATTCAACGTCTTCATGAGTTTCGTGGCAATTGGTAACAGGGACTGGTATTTTATGTAGTTCCACGATTGCTAATGCTCCACGCCTGAACAACGTATCAACGCTCGATTCAGATTGTAACCCATCACGTGCTACTTGCCATAGAGCCTGGCGTACACCGTAAGAACATAGCGCAAACGTAAATAACGATACACAGTTATATTAAATACGTGAAACTTGAATACGAACTGGATTGCTTGCTCATACGTTTTATAGTCCTGGAAAATAACGTATATACAGTTTCAGATGCTTGTGACGATTTTGAAGAATGAATAGCTCAACGACAATGAACAAATTAAAAAGGTTGTTAACTCTTGCAACTATTGCTATGGCTGTAGAACATCATGAAAAGCAGCAAAAAGAACGAGAAAAACAAAAGCGACGACGAACACGGAGATGGTGGACAAGAGAATGGATTCTACGAAGACAACGTCAATTAAGAGGATCGCTTCATTTAGCACACAGTGAACTTCTCTATGAAGATGTTGAGTCTTTTCATTCATTTTTCAGGATAGATCCGCGTTTATTTAACATTTTATTGGATAAAGTATCTCCATTTATTCAAAAACAAGACACAATTATGCGACAATGCATTCCGCCGAGTCAAAGACTATTTATAACTCTACGATACTTGGCAACTGGGGAATCATATCGGAGTCTAGAATTCACAACAAGGATACCTACTTGTACCTTATCACGTATCATACCTGAAACGGTCAGAGTAATCTACGAGGTACTAAGAGATGAGTATTTGAAGGTAAATATTTAAACAATAATTTTTATTTTCTAGTACAAAATACATCAAGAATACTTAACGTAAAACACATAATATTATAGATTCCAGATACAGAAGATGAGTGGAATCGTGTTGCTGAAGACTATATGACACAATGGGATGTGCCAAACTGCATTGGTGCATTAGACGGCAAACATATTCAGTTTAAAGTTCCTCTGAGCCAAGGATCGTTGTACCGTAATTATAAAGGAACTGACAGTATAGTTTTTCTGGCACTAGTAGATGCGAATTACCTGTTTCTGTACGTAAATGTCGGAGTAAATGGGCGAGTGAGTGATGGTGGAGTTTTTCGAGACAGTAATTTATCTCGATTACTAGAGAGTCCTGCAAATCCACTGAATATTCCATCAAATAAACCACTCCCTGGGATGACTGAACCAATGCCATATGTTATTCTAGCGGATGTTGCTTTTCCTCTTCGCAACAATATTTTAAAGCCGTATCCATTCCGAAACATGACGCATAGTGAACGCATTTTCAATTATAGACTTTCTATGGGTCGTAGAGTTGTAGAAAATGCTTTTGGAATTTTGGCAAACCGATTTCGTGTACTGCAAACTGTAATTTACTTACCGGTTGAAACAGTACAAAGTGTAACTTTAGCTTGCTGTGCATTGCATAATTTTATAGGTAAAGCAGCATTTAATGGAATAACAAATGTCAAAGACATCAATTTTGACTCATCAATATATAATAATCAGTTACAAAGTCTACATGTAACTAATGTTCGTCCAAATCGAAATTCTCTTCATGTACGTTCAACGTTTAAACAATATTTTAATACAGTCGGTTCGGTTTCTTGGCAAGAAAATATGGTACAATAATATGAGTAATGAGATATAAGTAATCTATATATATAATGAAAAGGCTCCACAAACTTGAAGAAACGCATATACGCCCGCGTATAAATATATAATATATATTTTAGTATAATTATATAAATATATACATATAATAAGTAATATAAGTATATAATAATAATAAGTATATTAAGTATAAAATTAAGTATAACTAGTATATTATATAATAGTAAGTGTATCAGTAATAAATAATAAATAATAAGTATATAAGTAATGAACTAATGAGATGTAAGAGATATAAGTAATGAGAATTAGCTCAGGTAACAATACTTGAAACAATAATTAGGTCGTCAGAATAATTGTAGACATATAGCTCCAATATAGTTATACTTTTTATTTTTTAATACCATTTTTTACAAAAAACTTTGTTCAGCATAAGTGAACGGCATTGTGAAGAAAAAAACAAAGAAACATTAAAATTTGAACATGTATGTAAAAATAAAAATAAATAAATGTAATCGATATAGTTTGAAGTTATTGTTAATCATTTTCATTGCACAGCACTGTCTATATCCTGCGCTTCTTGAACGAGATTTAAAATATTAACTTGTAGTCTCCGTAAACGTCGTCTGTCTTTTATGCACTGCATTTCTGACTTCAAAAATAATAGCCAATGATGAAGACCAGCGTCTTCTTCCTTTCCTTCCTGTTTCTGATCATCTTTCTTTATGTCTTTCAACGCAGCGTTGATGTTTGTCCAAAATGCTTTGCTAGTATTTTCGTTTGGTTCTACTTTTTTCCTTTTGCTTCCTTTACCCGATGTGAGCTGCGAACCTGACGCACTGGAAGTTTCAGAATGCACACTCTGTGTTTCGATAATTTCTTCTGTTTCATTATGTGGAATAGACGTCGTTGTTGAAGAATTTGTAGTCTTGATAGGGATTGAATTACAAAAATCTGTAAAGTAAGACTTTATAGTCATGGCTTGTTGCAAAATAAAATAGATTAGTGCGTAAATTTATGTTATACCAGTAATTTTTGATACATATTCAAATAAATAATGGATTTGATTTTACCTTTTCTTGATATATTATGGCTGTTATTTGATCTCAATACTTGTTGTACATCCGTGAAAAATAAGTCATCTAGATGTATCAACATATGATTTTGCGACAATATTTTTTGATACAGAGGATTCGCCTTTTCTGGATGCTACATGAGGTACCAAGAAACTTAATTCTTCAAATAGCCACCAAGTTGGTTTATATACGTCGTCTGCACCAGCTCCGCTCGATTTAGATTTTTGAATTTTATTAATTTGCTCCAAATATTGTGTTCTTAAGTTAGCAATTTTTTTCTTTATTACATCTACGGTAACCACACAACCACTCAGTTCGAGGAGCTGCTCAGCTATTGTTTGCAGAGTTTTCAATCTTTTATCTCGATTATGATGATCTCCGCTCTTTTGTACGTATAAACAAGGATGTTGCTGATATAATA